GGGCTGCTTTGGTGTCAGTGGTCTGTCTGACTCTTAGATACACAAATGGCATCTTGGAAATGCGTTTCCTGGGGCAGTGCGAAGGAGGTGAATGGGGGTGGGTAGGCAGTGGCAGCAGCATGTCAGAAACCACAAACCTCCTGACTTTTGCTGGAAAACATCCGATTTGGCTGCCCCATCACAAGCAAGAATTGCCCGACATGGTTTGCCTCTCAAAGGGCTGAGGCTAAATGGTAATACAATTTTCTCTTCCTGATGGAAGTTTAGCTACAGAAGTAGCTAAAGGTGGGAGGAAAAAACCACTGCTAGTATGGACGGAAACAATTGTCCTTCCTTTGCCATCTGGGGTGGGAGGAGGTGGCGGTGTCAGCCACAGGTAAACCTTGTTAGTTGTGAAAGAGAAGGCGACAGCCAGCAAGAGGTACTGAGCCCATGCGTGTCATGCAGGGTGCTGGGGCCAAGCAGGGTGCGTGAAGACCCTGCTGCAGCCTTTCAGGGGCTGCTCTGTGGAAGGAATAGGAGAGCAAAAATGGGAGGATCCCCTGCCTGCATGGGCACTGCCATGGGCTGCAGCATCGCTGTGGCAATAATGGGAGAGCCCGGGGGGCTGGGGCCAGGGCTGGGGTGAGGTGTTTGCTGGCTGGGGAGGGCAGGAGGGCCCCAGAAGTGGTGGCCAGCTCTCCCAAGCCATGGGCAGTGTAAGGTGAAGGCAGGGAGCTGCCAGAGCCTCACTGCCAGCTGATGGTGATTCACTGTGGTTCTCTGCCCCCTCCTCAGTCCCACCCCAGTTGCTCCTCTTCGCCTTGGTCATCACTTCAGCGTCTCCTACCCGTGACCGTCATCCCCTCTGCTGTCCTGTTGTTTTCCCCGCTGCCAACATCTCCTGCTTTTTGCTGTACTTTTTTTCCTTCCCAGTCCCCGCACTCCCCAGTGTGCCATGACCCACATCAGCATCCCTTGTTCCTGCCTCCCCCATCCCTTCCGTGTCCCTCAGACTCTTCCACATCAACTCCCACAAGGCCACAGTCACCTCCCTACACCATTTACCCCTTTGTTATGCCCCACAGGGTGGTGGTGGTAACTGTGGGCCACCACACCCCTCTCCCTACCCCTCCACAGTTGCTGGCTCAACAGGGAGGATGCAGCACCGCAGGTTATCTTCCACCAGTACCTCTTCTGCGCACCCCACAGCTGCAGGGGCCCTGCTTTCACCACTGTAGCCTGTGTGTCTATACTTGTGTTGTATTAGATGTTCTTGCAGGAGGCAAGAGCAACATATGGTGGAAACACAAGCTAGAAGCTGCACAGTTCCCCTTTACCATTTCTTCTGCCCATTGGTAACTTTGAGCATTATTCTGTGCACACATCTGCAAATAAATCCTTGTGCACATAGACCTGTCTCGAGATCCCTTTGTGTAACAAAGCAGAGCCCTGCACACGTGTATCCACTCTGCTCTGCAAGCAGGAGCCGCAGCGCACTTGCACAGAGGCTGTATGAGACTGGCTGCAAGGTCTGCAGGACAGCCAAGGAGGGTACCATCCCTCTGCCCCTCAGCGCTAGACACAGCACAGCACAGGGGAGTTCCCACCAGTGCTAGGCACACGTACTTAGTTCTTTTCCCTTAGAAGCCAAGAGAATAAAATGGCCTCAAAACAGCAAGGCATCCCATTTATTTAGCAAAGCAAGCAGATCCAGAAGTGAAGGTCTGGTATGTCAGGGAAGAGGAAAGGAAGAGTACATGATGTAATGGTAAAGTTTTCACATACCAAATGTATCCGCTGCTGCTCTGTTTCAGGTCTCCTGGGAGCCCCAGAAGGCACCAGAGCACGTCTGCCTCCTGGGGCTTCTGGCTGGTAACAAAGAATTGCCTTTACTCCTTCCCAATAGACAAGTGTCCCAAAACTGCACAATATGCACACATTGAGATGGTTGGTTTCTGGGCCAAGCTACAATGTCCACAAGCTACTTGGGAGCACAACTCCACACTGAGGAGGAAGGTCTTACAAACCCTTCCTGAGAGAAGGGCAGAGGGAGGAAGAAAAAAAAAAAAAAAAGAACACCAAAACACAACAAACCCCCACCAGCCAACCCCCTCCAGGGTATTGATGAAGGCAGTCACAGAAACCCAAGTAAACTCAAGGTGGATGGAAGTTAAAATGCATTTTCATTGTTTATCACACCACCTTGTGTCTTTCTCTGGCATTGACCCAACAGAAAAAAGTAACAGACCCCTGACTAAAGCAGATCACAGGTTACAAACAGAACATAATGCAATTCCAAGTAAGTTTTCCACGGACAGCCTGGTGGGGCTTGTTCCCCAACACCTTCAAACAAGTCTGCGTACCCCTTCAACTGCTATAAAATATTGGCAACGACTAGATGCCCTTCTGCCTGCCCCAGCCCCCAAAAAGGCTCTTTGGCAACCCTTGATGGCCCGCTCACCAGGATGAAAGCTGGCACGCTCGCTGCCCACAGCAGAAGACGACGCAGCCTGTGGTG